GCAGCTTCGAGCCAGGCCGGGTTGATAGCGCCATGTAGCGTCTTAAGGGCTGCCAGGGTCGCTGACCTGTCCCGCGTGGGTGCTGGGGTTGATGGGTCGAGGTGTGTCCTGACCCATTCGGGCCAGGTCGACCTGGGGAGGGAGGCCACTCGAGTATGCACCACTAGGTCCCAGACCCGCACTAGGTCGCCCACCGTTTGCAGTTTCCTGCATGTAGCGATCCCCACGAAGTGCGCCTCCAGGCCCGGGCGGCGGTTCAAACTGTCTGGGTCTGCCTCGCCGGTATTGGGGAGCAACGGGTTACCCCACAACGCGGTTGCCCAGCACCACGGTCCGGGGGACAAGGGGCTGGTCTCGATATCCCGGAGCGGTGGTAGGTGTCCCAGGGCGCCCACAATCCGGCTGATATCCGTGGGTAGGTCGCTTCCGCCGAGCCGGGGCCCGGCTTGGCTGGCGGTCGTCAGGGCCCACGGTTGGAAGGCGGGGTGGGTGAGCAGCATATAGGCGGAGAGCGTCCGGACCCAGGGATGGAGACTACTGTATGTATGTATGTATGTATGTATGTATGTATGTATGTATGTATGTATGTATGTATGTATGTATGTATGTATGTATGTATGTATGTATGTATGTATGTATGTATGTATGTATGTATGTATGTATGTGCTGTATGGCCGACTTCCCAATCTGGGTTGCAACATGATGTGGTTGCGTGATACGGTTCTGGGTCACCGGAGCCGCACTGATAGTCACTCAGATTTACCGGGCAACACCATTGCCGGGACGAAAATGTCATATACATCACTTGCTTTGTTTGAAGTGCGAGGTAGGACGGTGCTTATCGGCGACCTGGCAGCCCTTGAGCTTTCGGCTCGTATTGGGCGGTTTGCAGGTACGGAGAACGAACACCCCACGACCATGTAACCACACACACAAAAGCACACACAAAAGCACACACACACACACAAAAGCACACACACACACACATACACACACACATATAGCTCTTATATTGCCGTAGGTTTTTTTGTTGCCGGTGTGACTTCTTCCACAGGGTTTTTCCCGGGCGTGCCCTTAAAGACCGTACCAACCGTCGGTTTTATTGGTTTATCGGGTCGACGGCCTTTCCTACTGTCTTTTCTCTCCGGATTTTTGCTGCAACATTATCTGTGGGGCATCACGTCTCCCAGGGGAGCCTTCTAGGTGGTTGCCAGGGCCGTACACTGTGTGGGGGGGATCGCGTGCTCGGTCAGCGCGCTACAAGTGCGCCGCCTTCTATGTTTGCATGATGATGTCCCAACGACGGGGCTTTGCAATTTCCTTAGCTCGTTGTATCTTTTCTTTAAAGAAAATTTTTACTAGTAATTTATTTTCAAATTTACACGCTTGAAAGGCCTTGTCAACACAGCAGTCGGTCGGCGCAGTTTTGCTTCAATCTTCACATTTTTTCAAAATTTCTCAGAGAGCAAAACCGGGTACGAGCAACAACAGCATACATTTACAATCTTGAAATTTCTGCATCGCCATTTGCAGCTGCAAGTCACCGTTAAGGCTTTGGTTTTCTGCTGGCTGCTGAGGCAGCGCAGCGGGTCAACGCAGCCGACACCACAGCTCGCTACCACGGCCACGCGGCCACGGAAGTCAACATGGCGGAGCGTTACACCACCCCGTTCACCCCAAGTGCATGGAAATGAACAAGGGCGTCAATCCACCCACCCACCCACCCATCCATCCACACGCACTCACATGCACATGCACATGACATTGCCCCTGCCTCACTGATGGCTGATAGCTAGTAGGAAAGGGAGGACTACTGCCGTACCGCATCGTTATTTACCGGTGGTGACTGCAAGCACATCGCTGCCCTGTGCTTCTCGGGTACTGTTCCCGTTTCCATTGCGTTGCCAACCAAGCGGCAAGGTCCCGGCATTCTTCTATGGCAGTGTGTGGGACAGTGTACTTCGTGGGAAAGGCCCTCTTATGTGCCCGTTCTCCTACAACCTAATCATCATGGCGAACCAGTTCGGCGTGCTCAGCCACTTAGGTTACCAGTGCCATACCCCCCTCCTTGCATCGCTATCTGCATCCTGATCCTACTCCTCCGCCTCCTCTTCCTCCTTCTCTAAGAGCCGTCTATGAGGGGGCTCTAGCATAGGTTTGGGAGCAAATCGACCCAGGGATAGATTAGCAATGCCCACATTCGCTGCACCGCGCTGGGCTGGACGCTTCATTGCTGTTTGTCATGGCACGCAAACAGCGCAAGGGATTGCCGTGCGCTGTAGTGCAAAGGAATTGTTTGTGCTATGCGCGTGACAGGACAGGGAATGGCAATCACGAGAATGCGTCGCGGGATATGATTGGTGGATGTAGCCTTAGCGAGCGCAACCCGAGGGTGATTGCCAAAGTTACGATATCAGTGAGAGAATTTTCAATTCGATTTGATGTGTCTGCAGGAAGTGAGCAGTTGTAAAACACAGATGATGCAAAAACGGGGCGATGCCATGCTTGCGATACTTCATAGCTTGTAAGCCCAACCTGAGCCAGCCGAGCCTCGAATAAATAAGCCATACTAATCTTTACATGTATGAGGCAGTGTGCAAAAGCAGAGACATCTCCCAGCAAAGACGTACGGGTCGGAAAGCACGCAGGCACACCGGTGCAAAAAGGCAAGGGGTAGACGGTCGTGTGAGGCATGAAACTGACTGAGGCAATGTTCTCAAGTCAAGGTTTCTGCAGCTGCTTTGGCATTATCTGCAAAACCACTTTGAACACCTCGGGAACATAATCCTCAGCACCCAGTTCAAACCTATAGTTTAGTTGGTGTAAGTATTAAAACCTTAAGCTACTGTGAGCTCATGTGCACGATTAAAGCGTTTGTTCGAACATTCGTGGTACGGACCACGGAGCGGCGGGCGGCGAACTGCAACGCAGCGACTTAATGCCTATCGCGAGGATGGCTCATCATACAACACCACAGTGCTCTCTGCACTTGCTGGTGAGAACGACCGGTCTTAGGCTGGCCGGTCGCAACACCGGTTCACCTTAACAAAGGTGATAGGTTCCGAGTTTTCCTGTTGGCCGCATAGGCCTCAACCCCATCGCCAATCCACGCTTAGATAGGGAATTTCGTGTCCTAGTCGCCTAGCAGTTCCTGTATCTGGCGTTGAGAACCAGGCCGAATCTGATAACGGGTGTTGTGAACAGGGCCAGCCTTCCATATTTCTAGCTTCATTTGGTGAGTTTAACGATACTGAGTATATCAGCAAGCTCAGAGGAATCAGCGGACGGAGGCAGCAGAAAGCTTTCTGGCAGCCCGGCCTTGCAGCCCTTGGAGTTGCTGAACAGCAGCGTCGTCTTTCGCTCTATCTTCATGTATAAAATGATACTATCTTGAACATGTTGCCTCGGTTTTTTAGCAGCAAATCGCACGTTTATCCTGAAAAGGACCAGCCGGCAATGTTTCATACATTTTACGATCAGCGACTTGCACACATCTGAATAGCCAGAGCTAAATGTATGTTTTGTGCTCTGTAGGCTGCCACAATCATGGCTGCCGACGGACCACGTCTTCGCAAGGGCTTCATCACCTTCGGCGTGGCCGTTCTTATAGCCGCTGCTTCCATTTCAGGTCAGTCACCTTGGACCTGATGATGATCATTTCAGCTTGATTGACAGCGGGCTCCTCTAAGGTTGACAACTTAACTTACTCGACTAAGCTCGCCTCGCTGCAATACGACCTTTTAGGTTCTATGCATTGTCGCCACATCATCACGTCCGATGTAGCCCTATGTCGAAATGTCATTGTAACTGTCATCTTTGCAGGAGTTTCTTCTAATCCTGAGGAGCACAGCTTAGCGCATCGTCGAAGGCGTGGCCTTCAGGATGCATTCAGCGACATTCAGGCAATCGTAGCTGATGACAACACCATCTACTCGGATAGCGCTTATGTTCAGCGCATTGCGGGGGCGGAAGCTACACGTTTCCCCTTCTGCAAGTGAGCATGGATCGTCCATCCACATAGTGGAGCAGCAGGATTTACAGCTTCGGCCATTTTGGTTACCACACGGTTTTCAATATGCGCAGGTGCAAGACATACGCTTGTGAGTGCTCGCCGTACACCGTATCCTTGTCCAGCGTTACCAAGGTACGTTGCTCGGCCAGCTGACCAACGATGAGCCCCAAGCCGGTAGTAACTCAAGCATATGGAAGCTTACGGCTCTGGGGGCATTATGCCATATTTTTTGTTCGATGCAGGTTACGAATCCGGCGGCAACCAAGTACTGCTTCAAAGCAAAGTACAACGGATGCCCCACTCCGGTACAGCCATGCTGCCAGGCGCTCTCGCTCAATGTGGAGAAGATTGCCTTCACAACGAGTAAGTAGCTTCATTTGCCTATGTGCTTAAGACCGCAGGGAAAAGCACATAATGGGTCATTGCACTCGGCAACAATGTGATACGCTCGCGCTTTTGCATGGGTTGGCGGGGGGCAGAGGATGATGGCCGGATCTCGCATGAGAGGTTGTAATGGGTGTGTATTGGTATTGGGTGGTGTATTGTTGTCCGCTCAGCTGCGCCAACTTTCGTTCCAACAAAACCCTGTGGACTGTGTTGTGCCTGTTGAACAGCCTCGAAATGCGCCAAGCGGAATGTTTCCCGGGTCGACGTGCGGGGCCGCATGTGGAGCAGCTGGGAGACCAAGTCGTGGCCCCAGGTTACGACTGGTAAGTGCTTAGCAAGTCTGCATTTTCATGCGGGTTACGAGTATATATTGTCGTACATGTCGTAAATAAAAAATTCAATGGATGACGCAGGTTCCGATTACGAGCTCCGGATTTACCAGCTGCGCTTCAACAAGACGCAAATGGATGGTGCAGAATTCTGTGTATATACACAGGGGACTTGCACCGACCTGCGCGAGCTGTGCGACGTGAATGGAAATAACTGCCAGTAAGATTTCTTTTAGGCAATTTAGAAATGTCTGTTTCAATAAGCAACCTACCGTGTATCTTTTCAGATGTACCCTGCTTTTGCTCTCTCGTGACTTTAGTCTATTTGTCCTATTGGTACCAAACCAAAGCAATAATGTCAGTCAACCATTCATTTCGCAGTCTGGAAAACTTGCGCGCGTGCTTTGGTTTATACCGTCCGAACCCTAGCTAGCGGCTAAACGTACTTTAACCGTCCCTCTTAATCCCTTGCATAATCGTACGTAACACATCGCCGCTTCTCTGGTGTCGGGCAGGTTCTCTATTTCGGAGGCTGCCAACACGGCGTACTGCCCGGTGTGCCCTGTTTCTGGGCCACCACCGCCTCCTCCCCCTCCAACACCGTCGCCTCCGCCGCCAGTAACACCCTTTACCGAACCGTGCCAGTGGTGCGCTACGATCAGGGGAACGGATGTTTCGTCCCCTGTCGCGTTCAGCAAGTCGGTTTGCGAATATGTTACGAGCCGTATGCGGGCGAACATCACAGCGGGCTTTGCAGCTGTCGGCGCGACTGTAACATTCAACGGCACGACTTGTGACAACACCCAAACGAGCTTCTCCGTTTGCGGTTCTTCGAGCCCCAAGGAAGCGGTCATGAGCCAGGTGCTCGCGGACAGTTTCATCTATGAGTGGTTGTTGAATATCGCTCAGCAGCCGTCCGGAGTTTGCCCTCCTGGCACGCTTCAAACGAGTGTTACGGCGACCGTAACTGCTTCGTTCGGGACCTGCTTCGCGGGTTCGAACAATTATGGCGTTAACTGCGCATTCGGGCAGCCACCGCCGCCGCCATCTCCACCGCCGCCACCACCACCACCGCCGCCGCCACCGCCACCGCCATCACCCCCACCACCCCCGCCACCGCCCGCGCCACCGCCGCCACCGCCTTCGCCGCCACCACCTTCGCCG